GACGATGTAGTAGTAGATCCAGCCATTACTATCAAAGCTATTGGACATCAATGGTATTGAACTTATAAGTATTCGGACTATAACAGTTCTGATGAAGAGTCGCTCACTTTTGATAATTATATGATTTCAGAAGATAATCCAGAATTGGATCAATCATGTTTATTAGAAATGGACAATAAATTAAAGCCTTGCAAAAGATCCATGGGTCCACTCAAAGACTTCTCATAGGACATGTTTTAACAAGTAAATTTATGAAGTCGAAATTTTGGAAAGAGGAATAAATGGGATTATATAAAGAGGACTCTATAAATGTGAGTTTGGACTAGTTTCTCTTAAAAATAAAAGATTGAGGAGCTTAATACGAAGGAAAAAGCGTTGGAGACAGATGTGTAAATGAGATAAAAGGAATTTAAAATTCTAGTTGTTAGTATGTTTTAGATTTTCTTGGCTTTGTCTTGTAATTTACCTTAATATTAAAAAACTCGCATCTTTCATATTATTTTTTAATTAAGTTTGTCAATTCATCTCTACAACATCGTATATAAGTCATTTTTATAATGACGTTGCTAATCCACATGTTAGTAGTTTTTTAGCTTCGCTTTGGGATTATCTTGACATGTTTAGTTATGCTTAAAAGATACTCTTGGTCCCAGAACAAGATTAAACCAACACCAAAGGAGCGAAAAAAAATGCAAAAACATTACTGGTTCTTCACCTTGCTAGTAATATCACATAGACAACAAGTCTTTTAACATGCACGTTACCTGTACGAGAAGACGCTGTTAAATCTTTCAACAGCCATAGTGATCAATCTAGGGGAAAAACAATATAGGAAACCTCAAATAACGAGGAGGGCATGGAAATATAAAACCAAACTCACACTAGGTGCTTGCTTTGCAGTCATGTGCAATGTCTTTCTCCTCATTTTATCTCCTTTTAAATTCTCTCTCTCATTGTTTTTGTATATCCACAAATGCTTCAGATTCCACAGTATTAAACAAAATACACTAAATGAAAGGTGGAGAAAAATTTCAATTCCATATTAGTTGAAAAATAAAAACCACCAAATCTATATGAATTCGTTTTCCATGAAAACAAAGAAAATGCAGCTTAAAGTGATTGCATATTGGAATTCGGTTTCCATTTCCACGCTGCAATCAAAAGGCTACAATGTAATTCTTTTTCTTCGAACGTGACATTTTCTATGGAATTCGTTGCATCAAACATGGCCTTAGTCAACTCTTATACAGTACTATAATCTTAAGTCCAAAGTTACTACTGTCTTGAACAAAAACGAGACATTAAGGTAACTCTCAAGTCCAAAGTTTTCAATAGATTCGAGCATATAGAGATTCTCGATTAAGTGTCACCCTATTTTTCAACTCATATAACGCGTCTTGTCTCATCCAAAGTGGATCCTTAATTTCTCATCTCTCTTTGTTTTTCCTAAATTGGTTCAAATTTACAAAAGCCACTATAGGAGATCGCAATCAATCAAACTTATAAAAATCCGAGCACAAAATTCTGTATATTGATAATCTGCACATAATATCCCTATTTGGAGGGAAGTAATAGAAGTGGAAAAAAAACATGCAAAATAAAATAAAACAAACGAGTCAAACAGCAGAGTCAACTCGGAGAGAAGCACGACAAAGCGGACAACTCGACTGAGTCGTGAGCCACTTATCCACACAGTCCGAGTGAAAGCAGTGGTGACAGCGAGGCAGCACTTTGACTTCATCTCCATCTTCAAAAATGCCTAAGCAAATACAACACTCTGAATCAACAAAATTCCCAGAACTCGATCCCGATCCCGATCCCATGTACGAAACAATCGGCAAGTTATTAATTGCCGTTGAGTCCAGCCCCTGCTGTGGCGGAGGAGGAGGCGTCGGCGCGTGGACAAAGTGGGACGCGGAAGGCTGAGGAGGACGAAGGCGGTATCGACATATCCACCTGGCGTAAAGGAATAGGAGAGTGACTAAGAGGATGATTGAAAAGAGTACCAGTATGAAAAAGAGAGTGCGACCACGGATTTGGAAGTTGCTGTCGTCGAACTCGGCGTAGTGCCAACGGAATGGTTCGGAGGGTGACGCCATTGGAGGCGGTTTAAAGTGGCGGCGATTGAGACGGAGGTGGTGGTGGAAACACCATATTGGTGGGAGGATATTGGATCGGATCTGAAGGACTGTGTACAGTTGAGTTCACTTACATGAATAGCTGTTCTTTTACCAGAAAGCCTGTGAAACTGTTGTTCGCTATAATTGTAATAAAGGAAGAATTGACTACTCGCTTAAGAAGCGCGTGGATGTCATAGATAAATAATTGTGTTTGGGAAAGAATAGTAGTAAAATTTCTTTAGCACTTTTTTTAAATTTTAATTTTTTAATTATTTATTTAAGATTCATTTTGTACTTTTTTTTAAAGTTGTGATTATTATTGTAATTAATTCCTTATTTTTTGTCTTTTTTTATTTAAAGAAGATGATATATTCGTCATTTTACAAGACTTTTTTGAAAAAAGGATGGTGATATTCACATTATATTTTCTTTTTATCAATATATCATATTTTAATTATATTAAAAGTCATTAATCTATTAGATTCTTATTTTTAACATTTCATTAATCAGAAAATCTCGTTCTTAATAATGATTGTAATCCAAAAATACTATTAATGTTCTTTAAAATGGGGTCAAATATTTAATCGTATTTT